CTCAAGAATATGATGGAACAATGGCCAATACAAAATTTTAAATACATGGTTTAAGATAATCTTACCTTTACAATTTGGAAAGACAGATATGCTATAAATATAATTTGTGTGTCCATAATATACTTCAAGACACTCGCCAGTGATTTGCCACCTTCTAATACTGGCATCATTTGCACAGGAAAGAAATTCTGTTTCACTCAAAATTGCCAAACCTCTTACACAGTCTTCATGCCCTGTATTAAAAAAAGAATAATGTAAATCAATAAAATGGATATTTGGTAGACGGTTCTATGTATTTCATTAACATTATAAAGCACATCAGTGAATGTTAAAAACTGATTTTCATGTTTGAGAAATTCATTTTTCTGTAGAAAAGCCTTGTAACCAAAATTTTTAGTTTAGGTTTGGCAACATCTTTTTTATTACCAGTCTTGGAAAATTATTTTATATTTATCGTATCTTCTCCAAATTATTTCTTAAAACCTTCCAGAACAGGATTTTGATCCCCACAATTCTCCTTCTTTACCTGACAATTCATTTCAGCTTTTGTTTCCCAGTAACAAGAGCAATTCATAACATACACAATATTCAAATGTAATAGAAATATATAACAAGGAATAAATATCCCTTAAGTTTCTCACCACACAATATTGCAATTAATATTTATAAAGCATCAGAGAAAATTAAGAAAAACTAAGATTACAAAAGATTCCAATTATTTGAATTTGATATAAAACCATCAAAATATAGTAAACTTCATTAAAATATGCAGGAATACGTTGAGAGAGATTAATTTCTCTAAAACCACACAATTAGCAGCAAAGCTAAAACAAGAATTCAAGTTTCCTGCTCATAATCCGACCTCTTTTGAGTCAACCAAAATACAAATATAAAGCCAAAACATTGCTGACTTATCAATGGAAACATTTCACACTTTATATAAATGCAAGCACTAAAATGATAAAATGAAAATTAATGATTATTGATTTTTTAAATGGCAAGAATTTATGCAATAAACTTCTTGCATAGTGTTCTCCATTATATAACTGCAGGTACATATGGAACATATATATTCCACTTACCAAAGTATATTAAGTGTTTTTAAAGCGCTTGATAAAATTCAATTTCTTCCAATATTAATCAAAGCCTTATAGAAGATATCACTACGATTTTTTTTTTAAGGACAAAACATTCTCTGGAACTTGTGATCTAATATACACATCAGAAGTCAAAACCTTTCCAATGCTCAATATTTGCTAATTTAGATTAGCTATCACAGATTAGTAATAACTTGATACATATACCAGGGGTGTCAAAAAAATGAATACACATGACTTATATTCATCCTTTGTTATCGGTATATATTGAGTATTACACTCTTAATAGTTTTTTCCTTTCTTAAAATCTATGCACATTTTTTTAGTACCCTCTGTATGTATGTATGCATAGACGCAAACACAGAGACGTTTATTGTAACTCATTGTTCATTTTCCATCTACAGATAATTTCATTTGCACAAAGGGACTTGCTGCATATTAGCCAGGGTGGTGATCAACTTTTTAAAGTAAGAGAAACAAAAAAATTCACAACAAAAATGTAAGTACCCCACAAATACATCGCCAATACTAATATTACATAGTAGATGCCTCAGTGTGGGAGTTAATAGCTGAGGTTTAAAAGGACTACCCACCTAAACCACCACATGATCAGAGCCTGAAATTTATTATTAAGCAGTGTGCTTCAATATTAATAAAAGCACTCATGTTTTCCTCCATATATAAAGATACCACCACTGATCCACCATCAATAAGGCTTATGCTTGGAAGTTTCAGACTGAACTTGTTCAAATGACAAGCAAAAACATAACTGCGTACCAAAAATTACATATATGTATATAATTCATAGAAGCACATACACATATTATAGCCTATCAGTTAGCTGCGTATTAGCCCACATCTGGTTGTTTAATGAGAGGTCTCATTATATATCCTTTAAAAAGATATATGGTGGCATTTTTCAGATACCATTTTCAAGCTTCTAAACCTTTGAGAGAAAGACCATCTGAGTAAATATGAAGTGATGAGATTATAAAAGTTGCCTACTCTGTTCTTACCTGAAAAAGTCCGCTCACATCTTCCAGCTTTCCACAGTTTAATAGTCTTGTCTGCGGATCCAGTTAACATTAAGCCCTGTTCAGGTAAGATCTTTACTGCCCAGACTGCAGCTGTATGACCCTGTGAGTAAAATGGGTATTAATTTATGTTGTCACAGAATCAACATATTTAATTACTATCTAAACGATTCACACAGAACTACTTGTACCTGTAAGGTCATCATGCATTTGTCATTCAGCCAGACTTTAGCAGTAGTGTCCCATGAGCCACTCAGTAACGTCCCAAATTTTCCAGATGAAAGACTACAAACTAAGGAAAAAAAGGTATTGGTTAACACATTTACATACAAAAAAAATGCTCAACTTTGTTAGTTATCAAAGCTTTGCAATTTTAAAAACACTGTGAAGTGACAGTATCTTAGCCAATTGAGGCTTAACTCAATGGAGATGCACAAAGGTGCAGTGATCGCGAGCACAGACTGGTGTCAGACTG